TACATGCTAATATTTTTAGTACTAAATTTTTGTGGCAGACATTCAGTGATTTCTTACTACTTTTAAGCTATACTTGAAGTAAGCTTCTTCAAATATAGCTTGATTTTCTTCATATATGGGTTTGTAAGCATAGAAAATTATTACTCTGCTTGTGGGGTCCTGTTTTATAAAGCTAACTATGTTTTTAAAAGAATTGCAGATTTGTAAACCTGTAGTAGTGATCTTGTAGGTTTTTTTTATGTACAGGTAAATTAGAAATGTCTTTAGACTGCATGACTTTAATTGCTGTTATTTATTATGTGAGCTATTATTTTTGAGTCATGGTGATCAGTTCTTGCAATTTGAATTGTTTTTTATTTTCTTTACAGAAATATTATTCTGTATAAATAAATTAAAATAAATTTGTGGTTTAAGGTTAGGATTTGATCTATTAGCTTTCTACATAATTAAATACCTAATAATATAACACTAGACAACTGTTGGGTCATCACTTCAAAGATATTTTCTTTGTCAATGTCTTCAACAATATAGAGCTTCTAATGTATGGCCTTCACTGGAAAGACTCTTAAAAATTCAGGGAGATATTCTGAGATAAATTGAAGATAACCAATATTCAAGAGTATAATGCAGTCAAAGATCAGGAATTGACCACAGAAAATCTTTTATGGTATTTTATAATTTTATGTCATAAAATGATTTGTAAAATTTGCCAAATTTCAATTTCATGGGAGACATGGGTTCTGGTTTTGAATGCATTCTATGTTAGCCCATTTGAGGTAACTTGTTTCAAAAATTGTTGCCCCGTGATGCACTGTTTCACCCAGTTAATGGTTTAGACCCAGAAAAACATGAGAGCTATAGGATAACAGAAGAACAGAGGAAAGGAAAGGACCTTGGAGGTCTTCTAGTCTAACCCCTGCTCAGGCCAAAAATGCTGTTTAACCCATATTTTTCTTTTATCAAGTATTAGGTTGTGGTCTACTTTATCAAATGCCTTACTAAAGTCCAAGTAAATTATATCCACAGCATATCTCTAGTCCACTATTTTGTCCATTGTCAAATAATGCAATAAGATTTTTCTGGAATGATCTGTTTTTGAAAAACCCATAATGGTATCTGGTGATGACTTTGTTTCCCTCTAGGTATTCAGAGATTCATTGCTTGATTATCTTTTCCAGAATATTCCCAGGTATTGATGTTAAGCTGATAGGGCTGTAGTTTCCTGGATCCATTTTTTTTCCTTTTTTGAAGTTGGGAACTATATCAGCCTTTTCCAATCATCCTGATGCTCCAGGATCTTTGAAAGATATGATTCAGTGGTTCTGAGATCATATCTGCCGGTTCCTTTAGAATTCATCTGGTTGAGGTGATTTAAACTGGTCTAGAGTAAGATAGATGTTCTCTTATCATCTTGCCTTAATTTCGGTGGTGGGTTTCAAATTTGTTTACTACCGGTTCTGTGGGCGTGGCTTAGTGGGCGTGGCAGGGGAAAGATACTGTAAAATCTCCAGTCAGAGGTGGTATTTTCCGATTTTCCTAACTTCTCAAAATTTCTACTACTAGTTCTCCAGAACTGGTCAGAACCTGCTGAATACCACGTCTGCTTAATTTGTATTCCTAATCTATCTTTTACCGTACTGTTTTTGATAGGTAGAACTGTTTTTTCCTGTTGTATAAAGAAGATTCAAAAAATGAGTTGAACAGTTCTGTTTTCTCCCTAATCACCTTTTTGCCATTTTATCCCATTAATGGACCAAACATTTCAATGCTTGACTTTATTTTTACATGTTAAAAGAAGCTTTTTATATTATTTTTTTATTTTGTCACATATAGATGAAGAAGATTAGTTTGTCTGGAAATTTTGCACTGTATTCCAGTTCTTAAAGCAGAAGGAAGTAATGATGAATAAGATAATTCACAGGAATTAAATAGCAAGAGATAATATTTTCAGAGATGAATATTTTCAGAAAATATAGCTGTGGCATCAATATTATGTACTAAGTGTAGTAGGAAAAGTATTTTCACTACAAAAGAGTAAGCAGGCACATAATAAAGGACTACACATAGAAGAGAATGCAGTGATGATAGTAGTCCCAAGTCCACTATGCAACAGCCTGATATGTTTCCTATTGTGTGCCTGCTTATCTCTTCAGTCTCACAGGTCTGTGAGAGTGAGAGTAATAAGTCCAGCACAGAATAAAATCCCTATAGGAATCACTTGTTATTCCTCACCCATCTTGTAGAATGGAGTGATTAGAAAGAAAGTGATTACAAAAGAATCAGCAAACACTGAATTGAGAATACACAAGGCTGTTTGTATATGGCATTTGTGGCTCTCAGCCCTAAGTGAACATGTGATTATTGGCTTTGTCCTCTATATGCAAGTGATATAACTAAATTTTGCTTCAATACACAGTGTCACAATGCTTTCAGTGTGAAATTTTATCAATTGCTGTTGTACAGTAACACATGGTATGAGTAACAGAAATGATTTCCAGGCGTAGAGACAAACATTGAAGGCAACAACTTTTTGTTGTGGAGTGAATTTATCAATTCTGCCATTGAGAAACTGCTGGAGGATGAATTTTTATTGATCAGAGGGCATTATTAAAAAACAATCTTATAAAGTGAACAAAAGGAAAATAAATTGCAGAGTTGTACTATTAAATGTACAGATATATTCAAATAATTATCATTACTCAGTTGCAATTAATTTGTATTTGTTACAGTTAGGAAATAAATGTATGTTTATGCACATTCTACATGTATAAATTATGCTACGCAAGATTTGAAAATTCTATTTATTTGTTAGATGAACATGATGCCATATTAGATTTTCTAAAGATGAAGGTAGAAGAGGGTTTTACTAAGGGAAAATTAAAATATATGAGTTCAGTGCTAAGGCACTGAATCAGTCCCGTAGATGTTCGTACAAATATAAGTGGTAAGTCATCCAGAAAATAAAATACATTTCGCTGTTATGAGATACACTAAAAAAATATTTAATTCTGGATGATCTTGTAAAAAAAATCTACAAAATAAAATAATGATAAATTATTTATATTAGTGACTAGTGATTAGTGAAAGGTGTATCAGGATAAGAAAATATGAAATGTTAACCTTCAATTTGCTAGCTGTTAGTTGCAAGAGATAAAATTTGTTTTCCAATTTCATAGGCATAATACCATTTTATACATATGTAAACTCCATTAGCCGTTTTACCCAAATATAATATATTTTCCGAATTCTTCAAATCCCATTCAAATTTAATGGACATTCAGGTCTAAACAGACTTTTCTACTTCCCATGAGTTCATTAAATCAAGAATTTGCCTAATGTGAATAATATTTTTGTTCCATTTTGTTATATAGTTACAAATTGGCAAAATTATCATTTAACTTTGATTTACAAATCAAAATATGTGTTGAATTTAAAAGTCATATTTTATAAGTTTTTGTGAAAGTCTATAAAAATGTATGATTATAAGAGTACAATGCCATCTTGTGGCCACAGCACTCTCTGCATTTTTAACCATAGAACAGATTTGATTTTAATGTACTGTACATATTATGCTGTACATTCCAGAGAAAGGATTAACTTGCTAATTAATAAACAGAGCTGAGGAAATGGGATGAGATATGAAATGAAGATGCATTTGTTTTTATTTTAAGAGACAGTGGTAAAATGTTAACGCTGAATATATTTGGTGGAGATGAAGGAAGAAGTTTCTTTTTCCTATTTCCCTATTTTTCCTATTTCTTTTATGGGGCTCTGCATTTTCTATATAATTTAATATGTTTTGGGAAGTTTTTGGTATATATTTTATCTGTTTAATATAATTCTTAATAAAAGTATTGGGTAAAAAACAAACAAAGAGCAAAGATACTACATTGGTAATATAAATTCCTAGTGTAGTGACGCTATTGTTACTGTTTTAAAGTTTTAAAAAGTTGAATATTAATGAATGGTTATAAAATATTTTTCCTCCAAGCTTTAGCCTATAAGGCCATTTGAATTTTGAATTACCTTAATTTACCTTTTGCTATTGATAGTATCTCTCTCTATAGTGAATATTAGTATAGAAAAGCTGTTTGTCTAACTGAAATTCTTTCCTTTCAGGCCTTTAAAACTGTGCTTAAAGATTCAGAGTTTGCTTCCAAATAAATAACTTTCATACATCTACAGTGACTAGAACTTTCCCTTTATATTTAAATTTCTGTAATTCGGGGGGTGGGGGTGGAGGGGGGGATGAAAATGCAGAACAGCAAACCATGTGATTCTAAACTTATTTGTATACAAAAAAAGTTACTTTGCTTTGTTACTCAACAACTTATTAAATAACTAATAACTATTTGGATTGCATGGTGGCAGAATGTCACTTGGTGTTCAATTCTGGCTATGCAAGATATTTTTAAAGTAAAGATAGTCTTCAACTCCCAACCGTAATGGAGCCCGCTCATGATAATCATAGACTGCATGGGTATAAACTGCGTCAACCATGTGACAAAAAAATTACCTTTTTGTGGTGGTTGTTAAGCAAATGCTGAGATCACGAACAATTGCTGTGGTCATTAAGCAAATCAATGTTTCACTATGGACCTATATTGCCAAAAGTCAGAAGTAAATGCTGATTTTAGGTAAAATACAGTCACGTGATTATGTGATGCTGCAAATGGCCAGAAATGTACGATAATTGTCAAGCACCAGAGTTGACTGGGGGGAGGAGAAAGAGATTAACAACAATAGCTAATATATATGGACTTGTTTAGGAAAATTTCTGATCTTGGCAAAAAATTTGCAGACAATTATATATAGAGTATTGATAGAAAATAAATAGAAGGCTTTCAAGGCCTTCAGAAGTTTCCAGATCAAGATCACCATTAGCAAAGAATGCATTTTGATCATAAATAAAGATGATCATATAGCTAAAGCAGGATGAGGTTACTTTTGAATTAGGTTTATATCTCTATTTATTAGTGCATTTTTTTCCTGTTTTGTAGCCTTTCATGTCTCCTCGATATCCAGGAGGGCCGAGGCCACCTTTAAGGATACCCAATCAGGTAACAGTTTTTTAATCAGTGAAATACAGGAAACATTTACCTGGAAAAAGCAAACTTTTACCCATTTTTGAAAACAGCAAGTCTTAAAAACTGCATTTATGATGTAGATATTTGACATAATGTTTATTGAATGAGGGTATCATATCTAAAGATATTACAGCAGGTAAACAAAATCTGTATATAAATTTCTATCTTTAAAATACCATACATTTAAATTTGATTTTATGGGGAAATAATATACGAAATAGATTGAGATTAGTTGTAAAAGAAGCTAATTTTGGATTCCCATTCTTTTAGGATGACATAGGGTTTTTAAAAAATGAAAATAGATTGCGCTTTTTAAAAAAGTTGTTTAAGTATGATATTCAAGTGGAAAATTTCTCTTTTTAATAGGCGTTAGGAGGTGTCCCAGGAAGTCAGCCATTATTACCTAGTGGGATGGATCCAACACGGCAGCAAGGTAAATTATCAATAGAAATATTATCAGTAGAAATAACTGAATAAATAACTGATTTATCATCAAACTTGCATTTGTTAATACATTGTAACGTCATCCAGAATATTGTAAGAAATACATTCATACTATTATTCTCATGATCTAAATATAAAAGGGAACAATTATTTCTGTTGAAGTATTTCATGTTTTATTTATTTAGCAAATTTATATAGCCACCTATCTCACTGACATGACTCTGGGTGGTGTCCAACTAACAAAACAATGTGCAACCATTAAAAACTTAAAACAATAAACATATAATAATAAATAAAAAGCAGGCTTGCAGGAGAATAACAACCATCTCAGCAAATTACAACCATGTTACAGCCTCCCATGAGATCTACAAAGTGGCAGGTCCTTCCAAAAGCTAACAGGAATGGAGCTGACTTCACCTCAGGAGGGAATGAAGAGCAGGAGCCACAATAGAAAAGACATACCATCTAGTTCCCATTAGACGGAACTCTTTAGCAGATGTTTGTTTTCCTGTCTTCACCGAATCATGCAAGATCATAGATTTTCATGTTTCTAAAATGTTATTGATTGTGGGGCAGCAGGATTATCTTAAAGTTCCTTGTAACCTAAAAATAATTTAAAATACATCCTGCTGCTGCACATTATTTAGCACTTGTACAAGAGATGATATTTAGTTGTTCAAAATTCATATTGAACAACTCTTAAATTTATCTTCTGCAGCACTACTATATCTAAATGTGCTTTAAATGTTCTTTTAAACAAAAAGAAATGTTATCTGTCTGTCTGTCAGTCTCTCATCAATACAAATTGCAGGGATAAATTCTTTCCCTAAATATAGTTCTTCTAAATTTATTAAATTGGTAGTTTAATTAAAATAAAGTTTGTGGGGAGGAAATCCTATGTTTTTAAGCAAACCGAAATGAAAAGAATGGAAGACATTAACTTTGAAAAGGAATTATCTTTGAATCTAAATGGAAGAAAAATAACTTGACTGAGTTTGTATTTGACACAACCTTTTACAAAATATTTTAATCATGGGGAAGACAAATTGCTACTCTGATTAAAATACATTTATAATATGAAACAATCTGATTAAACAATTAAAAAATGTATTTCTATTTTTTTTTCATGAATCTTTTAGGTCATCCAAATATGGGAGGACCAATGCAGAGAATGACTCCACCTAGGGGAATGGTCCCACTAGGCCCACAGGTATATTGCTTAAATTGTCTTTCATATGATCACATTTCTCGTAATTTCCTATGAGAGAAAGAGAAACAAAGAGATGTATTCTTTCAGTACACATATTCTGTGTACTTGAACACAACAAAAATTATTGTACACAATTTCTCTAAAAGATTTGAACAAGGATGAGAACATGCACACAGCTTCTTCTAGTTAGAAATCAAACATAAATTGCTGTTAAAATTCAGAGAACCTTAAAAACTTATCAGAACTTTACAGTTTTGGTGTTTAAAGCCTGAACATTTCATTTTAATATTGCTTTAGAATGTTATATGATTTTAGAATTATCTGTTATATATGTTCACGTGCACTTGTAACTTATCCAGAGCTTATAAATTTATACAGATTCTGTACATATGTATCCCATTTCTATATTAAATTTATGATTGATAAATTAATAAGAACTTACAGAAGTGTTGGGTGTTTGATATTGGCAGTAAATGTTGGCAATATACTTGTAATAGAATTCTGTCATTAACTTCCTACATTTCATTCATTTGTTCTTTGTAAAACATTTTTCAAATGTTTTAATCAGATTTATTTAGTTGAAATAAATATGGTTAAAACATACAAATTATTTTACTTAACCTTAATTAAAGTGACCTAACATTAAATAAAGTATTAGACTTTATTTAATTTTAAATAAATTTTATTTAATATTTATTAAATAATAAAGTTTATTAAATATTTCTGTCAGGTTTCCAAGTGATGAAATCCATTTAAAAAGAAAAGAACAAAGTCCATCTTCCAAGACAAATTATTTTATTTAGGAAAGCATCAAATTGGCAAAGTTCATAGTAATTCCGGATCTGACACAACGGAATTAACCCACAATATTAAAGTTAGAAACAACCCCCCAAAGTCACATTCTCCAATAGAAGTAATTCAACATTGCTTGATGTCATAAATCTCCACCTCAAGGGGCCCAAGCATGGACAGCTCGTTTCCCACGGGAAGAAGAATCGCCTAGCCAAAACACTCTTTATCTCCACTCCTCCCCCCTTAGGAATGTGGCAACCCCGAAACCCTTCCCCCCATGACTGCCAAAGAGAAAGTAAGAAAAAGAATATATATTAAGCCTAACTAAAATGGCTACACATATGTCAATTTTGGGCTTGACAATTTATTTGGGTTAATATTACATCACATTGCATTATTATATTACAGATATTCCAATAAATGCAAAATACTTTCTAGAAAGAGAGAAAACATGAAAGAAGTCAAATGGATAATTTTTCAGATTTTCCTTTGTAGATCCCTTTGAGGTAGGCCACCAGGTCAGGAAAGAAATGCCACAAAGATTACCAGAACTCTTATTATTTATTCCTCATTCCCTTTCCATGCTAGGCAGGTTTTTACCTAACAACTGTTGAATACCTTTTTAAGGCTCTATACTTGTTTTACATCATGTTGGCCAAAATCTTTCTCAGATTTTCATTTTTAAAAGTCTTTTTCGCATTTCACCTTGCACTTAATTTGTGAAGAGGATCAAAATCCAACTAACAGAATTTAAAAAAGCAACAGATGAAAAATAAACTAACAAAGCCACATCATTATATGAAAACTTATATTTATAACCATTTTCCTCAGATTTTTTTTAATCTGATAAAATTGTGATGACTGAAATTTCTAACAGTGAATTATCAAAATTATTTTCTTCCAGAAATTGAAATAAGAACTATTTTAATGGTTTTAGACAATCTAGTCTAACTATAGTTCCCAAAACTAAAAAGTGTCTATAACAGTCACTAAATGAACTTTATATATTTATTAATAAGTGACTAAGTTATAATTATAATTATAATTATAACAGATCTGTATAGTTTTTCAAATAATTAGTAGAGAATCCAGTTTGTGTTGCTGATACGATAAATAAAGAGTTAATTTGAAAGTGCATCTTTATATATAAATATAGCACTGCTGGACTATTTAACATTTATGTATGTTTTTCCCTGTTTATTGAACAGTCCATTGCTGTAATATGCTTTTAAGTAAAAATGTAAGTCCTCCTACGTAGTATAAGTACATATGTCTATTTCTAAAGTTAATAAATCTATTAAATCTATTATTGATTACAACAACTTACTCTTAAGAGCATAGTTTTAAAAATCACTCAGTCCCTTAATATTAGAATATTGAGTCAGCAGTCATGAAATGGCAAAATCTGCCCTTCACTGATAATTGTGCTAGCTATTATAAATGGAATAATCTTAATTAATCAATTAAATGTGTTTACTTCCTTTGATAAGATAATAAGGTCAGAAGACAACGTTAAATAGTTTTTTAAATCAGAGGGAGTATAGAAATAATAATTGTTTATAAATTGAGCAGTTAAAAACCTAACAATGAATGACACTGGCCGATCCAATTAGCAGATGTGTAGGGAAGTCATTAACCTGCTGTCCTTTTTTTCCCCCCTTCCTCTTTGGTTTTGTTTTTTTTGTTTTGTGGTAGTCTGACCCTTGGTTATCATTGCAGAACTATGGAGGTGCAATGAGACCCCCACTGAATGCTTTAGCTGGCCCTGGAATGCCAGGAATGAACATGTAAGTAATGTAAATTGCACTAACACAATTGCACTAACACACAATAAGGAAGTTGTCTTCAGTTGAAAGAAATGGCAGGGATGTATGCGCATTTAAAATAAAGACACACAAATGTGTATCGATTAATTAGCAAACAGTAATAACAACATATCAGAATGCCAACAGGAATTTGTTCTTTAACTGGTGTAGTGGGCAGGATATTTTGAGCCTAAAGATTTCTTGAAATGATCTGGTGGCTTTATCATTTTGGCAACTCAACAAGCTTTCAGAAAATACTTGAAATAGCTCAGATGTAGGATGTTTTGCAACATGTCATATTTAAAACATTTTGAAATAAAACATGTTATTTTATCTGGCATATTTTAATGCTCAATACATTACAAACTAACAAGTCTTTGTGGTAGGGTTTTGTCATAGGGTTTTATTTTATCATCAGCAAGACATCAGATGAAGCTTTCAAATATGCTTTTAATATGTCAGACTATATTATTGCTTGGCTTGATTGTCCACCATATAAATGAAATACATTTTTCAGTCCCTTTGAGCTTTTAGATACCTATAAACTGAGAACATACTAATGTCTCAAGGTAGATGTGAGTCTTTTCTACAATACTAAGAAATAAAAGATAAATATTTAGCCAAGTGTTAAAATTGAAGAAACATTTTTCAGAGATTTTCTTAAAATATATTAACTTTTGTTGAAAGTTGAATGATATAAAGCCAAATAATAGAAGTATTTCAACCACATAGTATTCACAACTTTTCTATTTTTTGGTCCCTTTGAGTCAGTGTTGACTCCTGGTAAATGCCTGGACTAATCCCTGCAGGTTTTTTGGCAAGATTTAGGAAGTTGTTTACCATGCCTGCTTCCTAAGGCTGAGAGAGAATGATGGGTCACCCAGCTAGTTTCATGCCTAAGGCGAAACTAGAACTTTCCCAGGTTCTAGCCTTGTTCCTTAGCTACCAGAACTGTTTCTTCATAACAATGTAGTGGGAATTAATTTTCATTCAGGTGCAAGAACTGTAAATGATAGCAAAGTTTTCTTTTCGTTTTGCAAATAAAGGATTTTATAGATAGTATGATGCATCCAGCAAGAAAATGAAACCTACATGGCATTATAAGTGAGATAAAATATTTTTTAGAGGTTTTGTGTATAGTTATATAAAACTCTTAATTGATTTTTAAAAATATTTTTGTTTTTTGTTTTGTTTGTTAAATTATTTTGAATTTTTACACTGCTTTGGTCATGACTAGTATCTTTGAAACATGTTATTACACATTCAGTGTAATAAAATAGTGTCCTTGTAATCCATTGCTTATATTGATGACATCATAATTTAGCAGCAGTATGACAACACACCTTACTATCTCAAATATCTTATAAACAACTAAGGTTTTCAGCAGTTTGGTAAATGTTAAGAGTGAGAGTGCAGATCTTAAATCTCAAAGTGGTGTTCCACAGAAGGATTTTACAAAGATGTTCACCTCCAAGTCCCCTGCCTTCTTACCTTAATGAAGAGTGTGCCTTCTCGACAAGCACTCTTGGCAGTCACATATTTGGTGTGCAATATGTTACTATTTGAAGTAAGTAATTTTGTTGATAATGAGAGTCCAAACTATGTAGGGCTTGAACTTTGATAGCTAGTATCTGGAGATATACTTTGAAAGCAAACATCAACAATTCAGCTCTGGTTTTACATACCATACCATATATTTTCAGTTAATATGTGGGCAACTACTGTTCTACATTAACTGCAGTTTCTTGATGGTTTTTAAGGACAGTCCCATGTAAAATACATTACAGCAGTCCAACCACATGACAAGGGCATGTGACCTTGCCTTGTCTTATATTCCAGGAATACCTGAGTGAAAGTGTAAGTCCTGGCTAAACCTTCTGTCTGCTATTTCAGCAGAAGCTGAAAATCCAAGAAAACCCCAATATTACATACCAGCTGTTTCTGGGGAGTATGGATTACAGAGAGCTAAAGATGATGGCCTCCAAACCAGCAGTTATTCAGTCTTGCTAGAATTAAATCTGAATCTGTTTTTTTTTTAACCATCTAAATCCTTAGAGCCTCAAGTCTTCTACCAGATCATATGGGTGTCAGAGTTGGATGTCAACAGTGTATTGATAATATTTTAGCCCAAATGGTCAAGTAGAGAAGAATCAAACCCTGTAACACCATTTAACAGACTGTCCTAGGTTTGGCAACTTCCCCTATGTATGACAGGAACTACCAGTTCTCTTAAGGAGTGGAATCACTGTTGAACATTGTCCCCAATTCCTAATGTTTGCTAGTAGCCCAAAAATATGGCAGGGTTGATGATATTGAAGGTCCTCAGCAAATCCATGATGACTAATATTATCATGCTCTTCCCATCCATATCTTGATGTAAAAACAACCAATGTAATTCTTGTCTATTACCCAAGCCTGAACCCTTACTGAAAAGGTAAGGTAGTACTTTCCCTAGGATCCTATGCAACTGCCATCCCACCACTTTTTCACAGGAATGAAAGGCTGAAAATAGGTTGATGGTTATGCAGTATAGTTGGATATAAAGCAATGAACAAGTACAATATTTTTGACTCATCAGTTTAATTGGATTCTCTATATCTAGTTTTAGGAAGTATGGACGACAGATTGTGTTTTAATTGATATTTAAGTAGAAATATTGAACATTTAAAAGGGTTCACAAATTTGTAACCACAGTTCTAGTTCAAAGGTATAAAAATAAGATAAGAACACTGTAACTAAAATAATATGTGGTGTACATTTTGTGGATTTATAAAGAACATACAACTTAGATTTGGTCAAGAAAGATATGATAGAGAAATACCGGCTGGATTGGTTATTTTAGAAATACCTTAGACCAGTGATGGCAAACCTTTTTGTTGTGGTGTGCCAAAAGCGCGCATGTTTTGGGCCCATTTTAGCCTCCAAAGGCTGCAGAGGCTTCCCTTGAGCCCCAGGGAGGGTGAAAACGGCTTCCCCCGGGCTCCAGAGGCCCTCCAGAAGCTTGAAAATGGGGACTTCCGGTATTTCATGAAGACCTGTTTTTTGGTCTCCCGAGGCCTTGAGCCTCCAGGAGGGGAAAAAAGGCCTCAAACTGGCCAAAAATCAGCTGGGAGGTGCGTGCATACAAAGTGCAGGTAAATTTCGCTGGGGCTCACATGCCCCCACAAATGGCTCTGCGTGCCACCTGTGGCACACATGCCGTACGTTTGCCATCATGGCTTTAGACTCATATTTACTTCTTGTCAGAATATTATATAAAATATTTCCATACAATATTTCTAAGCATGTCTGTTGATTACAGTTACAATACTAATCTGAATAAAGTTCTTATTTTAAATTATAAATGCAATAGTGAAATCAATATCAACTGTACTTACTACTACTTTGTTTTCTTCAGTAATTGCCTTTTTTCAATAACAATCTAGTGAACTTTATTTATGCTTATTAAATAGTTTATAGTTAAATAAGCTTTATTGCTTATTTAAACTGAAATTTGATCTTTATTTTAGGGGTCCAGGAGGTGGTAGACCTTGGCCAAACCCTACAAATGCCAATTCTGTGAGTAAACATATGAAGTATTGTACTGTTAAAAAGAAGTGAAAGTAAATTAATCAAAACATGCTTGTTTTTTCACATAGTAACTGTCTGGTTAATGGTAATGTTAGTTTTTATAAACCCAAAAGGTCTTTTTAGAGGTTGCACTTGGCATAGATAAAGATTACTCTTATTTCAGAGGTTTTTGAATAATGTGGTAATTTAATTATTTGTGTACTTGATTGTGTACCTACAGTAAAATATTAATAATTGCACAGTCAGTTCAAATTTATGGTTTTGTTTATAATTGACTTTTAAAAAAAAAATTCTATGAAATTCTATATGTAAAGTTAGGGTAAAACTAATTGTAAAAAAATGTTCTTTCTACAGGCAGTCCTTGGTTAACAATGGCAATTGGGACCAGAATTTCTTTTTCAAAGCAACGCATCTCTAAAGTATGACAGTATGTGACTGCATTGCTTAGTGACGGCAGTCCCCATTGCCATCATTAACTGAATCCCACAAGTAATTAGGCAAGGACCCACCCTGATCCAAGCCATTCCCTGCTTGAACCCTCCCAGCCCCAAGCCTCAGTAAGGTAAGGGACTGTCTCCTCTGCCTCCTGTTGAACTCGCCCCCCATACCTGCCTATCTCTGCTCCGTCTGTACCCTTTGGCCATCTGCTTAACTGTCACCAGCAGCTGCACTCACCACCCAGCCCTGTGCACCTTTGTACTGGTTGAGTCCTCCTTTTGCAGTGTCTTCTTTCATGCTGGTGCAGCCAGAGCTTCTCTTCTCAGTCCTAGCTGTAGCACTGCAAAAGAAGGACCCAGCTTGAAGACACTGGACAGGACATTAATGGAGGCCCTGATTAGTGTGTGAATAGAGACCCTGAGTAGGCATAAGAGAAGTCCAAGATGCAGCAAAAAAGGCAGGATAAAATGACCAATTCAGTATTGGCACCCAGCAGGTAGGCAAGTAGCCTAAAGTCAGTTATAGATGTGGATGAGCCTTAGTGGGCCCAAACTTTGTTCACCTAACCATAGGGATGTTTAGGGGACTGGCCATAAATCCCTTTATTCAATAATGTTATAACTTTAATAGTTGGCTGAACAAATGGACTTTAAGTGAGGACTACCTGTAATTCCATATGACTGATTTTGCTTTGATAGTACCATTCCCTTTCTTAATACAATTAATTGAAAAAATGGGAATCTCTTTTCTGTAAAAACTAACTTTAAAATAATAAAATAATATTTATAAAAACATTTGTTATTCTATATGAACTGAAAAGAATAACCTGTTTTTGTTGTCTTACTGTCTTTTAGATACCATACTCTTCTGCTTCACCTGGGAATTATGTAGTGAGTATGTGTGTGTGTACATTTATGTGTGCAATGCTCCTCAGTGTGCATTCTTCATTCTGTTCAGTTTAAAATATAGATGTTCAATTGCTGAGAAAAAAGCACAAAAACATCAGTTATGTCTGCCATGTATTCCTAATACAGTGGAATCTCAGTACTTGAATGCTTAAAACTCATCGAATTTGATGCAAACATTTTGCCTTGGTACTTGATGCACAAACTAGAACTTGCTGATTTTGGTTGCCTCATGACTAATACATTATTCCTTATGGGAAAATTTTGTTTGGTATTAATTGCACCTCCCAGAACCAATTACTGTATTTTTCGGACTATAAGACGCACTGGACCACAAGATGCACCTAGGTTTAGAGAAGAAAAACTAGGGAAAAATAGGTTTTGGCCTCCACTGTCCTGTTTTTGGCCTCCCTGGCCCCCAGAAGCACTCTGCAGGCCAAAAACAGGCCCATTTTTGGCCTCTGGAGGCCTCTGTAGGTCCTGTTTTCTGTGGGTCCTGTTTCCTCTCCAGGCCCATTTTTGGCCTGCAGAGTGTTTCTGGGGGCCAGGGAGGGCAAAAATGGGACATGCGGAGGGTTCGGGAGGCCCATATTCACTCTATAAGACTCACAAACATTTCCACCCACTTTTTTGTTGAAAAAAGTGCATCATATAGTCTGAAAAATACGGTAACAATGAGTACCGAGTTACCACTGTATGTTTATAGTTGATTATTATGAGCAGAACAGTTAATTAGATGGAGAACTATTACAAATGGGAAAAAAGATGTTGGTTTCTTAGTCTACCACACCCAAAAATATCTAATTTTCTTGCCATGTTGAAAATATAAATAATTGTGAGAAAGGTTACACTAATTTTTAATATTTGTTACAAAAACAAATATGTGTAATATTTGGTTACAAAAACTAAAATTGCTATGTGCTGAACAGGAAAAAAAACAAGTTCAAAAATGTAGGTTCAATTAATAAAAGATGAAAAAAGAACAACATAAATAGAAAATTAGAGCAGGTTCAAAATTGGAGCAGGATAATAAAGAGAGATGTTGGCAAACTTCTTTTGAAAGAATTTTGTTAAGATTTTTTGGAAGATCAGAGCTAAAGAGAGAGAAAAGTACCCATGAGCTGAAGCCTCAAGTCTTTCCCATCAGAATGTGCTTCATTTATTTCTCTATCCAGTCATCCATCCAACCCTTGCTTATCCAAGCCAGTTTTGCAACTTTCATTAATTGTGTAAGTTGACAAGTTTTCCCATGAAGAAAACACTATACAGGTCAATTCTACATGAATCAGATTAAGGAACAACTATGAATTTGAGATGATCTGGTGGTAAAATATACACTGCTCAAAAAAATAAAGGGAACACAAAAATAAGACATCCTAGATCTGAATGAATGAAATATTCTTATTAAATACTTTGTTCATTACAAAGTTGAATGTCCTGACAACAAAATCACACAAAAATTATCAATGGAAATCAAATTTAGCACCCCATGGACGTCTGGATTTGGAGTTACACTCAAAATTAAAGTGGAAAAAAACACTACAGGCTGATCCAACTTTGATGTAATGTCCTTAAAACAGCTCAAAATGAGGCTCAGTAGTGTATGTGGCCTCTACGTGCCTGTATGACCTCCCTACGCCTGGGCATGCTCCTGATGAGGTGGCTGATGGTCTCCTTAGGGATCTCCTCCCACACCTGGACTAAAGCATCCCCCAATTCCTGGACAGTCTGTTGTGCAACGTGGCATTGTTGTATGGAGCAAGACATGATGTCCCAGATGTGCTCAATTGGATTCAGGTCTGGGGAACGGGTGGGCCAGTCCATAGCATCAATGTCTTTGTCTTGCAGGAACTGCTGACACACTCCAGCCACATGAGGTCTAGCATTGTCTTGCTTTAGGAGGAACCCAGGGCCAACCACACCAGCATATGGTCTCACAAGGGTTCTGAGGATCTCATCTCGGTACCTAATGGCAGTCAGGCTACCTCTGGCGAGCACATGGAAGGCTGTGCGGCCCCCTAAAGAAATGCCACCCCACACCATTACTGACCCACTGCCAAACTGGTCATGCTGGAGGATGTTGCAGGCAGCAGAACGTTCTCCACGGCGTCTCCAGACCCTGTCACGTCTGTCACATGTGCTCAGTGTGAACCTGCTTTCATCTGTGAAGAGCACAGGGCACCAGTGGCGAATTTGCCAATCTTGGTGTTCTCTGGCAAATGCCAAACGTCTTGCATGGTGTTGGGCTGTAAGCACAACCCCCACCTGTGGACGTCGGGTCCTCACACCACCCTCATGGAGTCTGTTTCTGTCCGTTTGAGCAGCCACATGCAAATTTGTGGCCCGCTGGAGGTCATTTTGCAGGGCTCTGGCAGTGCTCCTCCTGTCCCTCCCTGCACAAAGGCAGAGGTAGCGGTCCTGATGCTGGGTTGTTGCCCTCCTACGGCCTCCTTCACATCTCCTGATGCACTGGCCTGTCTCCTGGTAGTGCTTCCATGCTCTGGACACTACGCTGACAGACACAGCAAACCTTCTTGCCACAGCTCGCATTGATGTGCCATCTTGGATGAGCTGCACTACCTGAGCCACTTGTGTGGGTTGTAGACTCCGTCTCATGCTACCACTAGAGTGAAAGCACTGCCAGCATTCAAAAGTGACCAAACCATCAGCCAGGAAGCATAGGAACTGAGAAGTGATCTGTGGTCACCACCTGCAGAACCACTCCTTTATTGGGGATGTCTTGCTAACTGCCTATGTTTCCACCTGTTGTCTATTCCATTTGCACAACAACATGTGAAATTGATTGTCAATCAGTGTTGCTACCTAAGTGGACAGTTTGATTTCACAGAAGTGTGATTGACTTGGAGTTACATTGTGTTGTTTAAGTGTTCCCTTTATTTTTTTGAGCAGTGTACATTAGCTGAATAATTGTATTTTTCTGGGCTATTTAGATTTTCTTGCTGGAAAAAGCAAATCTCTGAGCAATATTGTACCTACAATTTACCATTTGGAAAATGAAATGATAAATAATAGATATATTATTGTTTAATCAAATCTTTTAATTATGTTGCCTATACAACGTGTCAATTCCACATGAATCAGCATGTTACTGATTTGCCTTTCCTTTTTTAAGGGTCCACCGGGAGGTGGAGGGCCACCTGGAACACCCATCATGCCTAGTCCAGCAGGTAGATAACTTTAATGGGGGAATGGATACAGCAATAATTTAACATTTGCTTAACTTTTCAATAGCTATTGTCAGAATTCTCAACCACTGTATACTCTTAGTAAATTCTAGATATCCTTAGTTTACATGAATAGAACACACAATATTATTTATATATCAGCCATACTCTCAGTCCGGAAGAGAATTCCTTAATTTTCCCAGCAATGACACAAATTGTTATGGCTTCCTGTATCAGTTAGTTAAAGTAATTTAAAAGCTTAAATATAAGTGAATACACTGAGACTTTACCAACAAACTTTAAAAACTCATCCTATATTCTTATTGTTGCTCTGCACCTTTTTGTATTTCATAAATAAAATGCATACACGTTATTACAATCTAAGAAGGACCTCTCTGCCATTAATCCAACAAATTCTCTTACTTAAAGGTATACAGGTAGTCCTCAACTTACGACTACAATTGAGCTCAAAATTTCTGTTGTTAAGCAAGTTTTGCCCCATTTTATGACTTTTCTTGCCACAGTTGTTAAGTGAATCACTGCAGTTGATAAGTTAGTAACACAGTTGTTAAGTGAATCTGGATTCCACATTGACTTTGCTTGTCAAAGGTGATCACATGACCTTGGGACACAGCAACAGTCATAAATACGAACCAGTTGCCAATCATCTGAATTTTGATCACATGATTATGGGGATGCTGCAAAGGTTGTAACTGTGAAAATCAGTCATGTCACATTTTCAGTGCCATTGTAACTTTGAATGGTCACTAAATGAACTGTTATGAATTGAGGACTACCTGAACTTCATGGCCATTTTGAAAGTTAAAATCTTACCTCATAATGTCATTGTTCTTTCTCTAAGCAAAATAAAGTACTTAATCATGACTCAGGAAAACATCTGTGCCCTTTCACTCAGTGACCTAGATTCTAATCTGTAGTTATTACTTTGCAATAAATGTCTGTTATTGATGGCTGTAGATCTTGTGAAGTGTTTTATACTTGATTTATAGAACATTAACAATCAGTTGAAAAGCACGACTGGAATGTCTTTTGTTAAAAATAAAAGTTAATTATTTTCACTGATTTCATTGAAAGTACTTGGCATTTTTATTTTCAGATTCAACCAACTCTGGAGATAACATGTACACTTTAATGAATGCAGTACCTCCTGGAGCCAACAGACCTAATGTAAATAACAGGAATAAATACATACATTTGAATTTATACATGACTCCCCAAATCCAAAATTGTAATAATTGTATGTTCTCTATCTATCTATCTATCTATCTATCTATCTATCTATCTATCTATTATAGAGATATCATAGTCATTTTCTCAACCTCTTTCTTTAGTATGTTCTGTGAGTTGTATTTTCTCTATCACATTTCCTCCTTTTTGTTACAAATTATTTATTAACATTTTTGGAGTATGATGCATTTGCCTTTTTTGCAGTTTCCAATGGGACCAGGGTCAGATGGTCCAATGGGTGGATTAAGTGGAATGGATTCACATCATATGAATGGATCATTAGGTAAGAATATAATCTGCCTTTTTAAATCCTGTGCTAGGTAATGTATCTAGTTTTTAAAAATATCATATTGAACTTTTTCATTACTTTTTCAATTTTTTTCTGCAGTTAGAAGTTATAAATAAAGATGAGGTCCCTAAATTAGAAAAAATAAGTCAGAGGATTATGAAAGGGACATCTTTTAAATTATAGATTTTATTCTCTATGCTTTGTATGTTATCTTTTGCACATATTGAGAAGGGAGGAAGTTGAAGTTTTTCTCCTCATCCTGTTGGCTTCAATAGCCATCAATTATGGTAACCTTGTGAGAGCTAGATTTTTGGGATGCTGTAGGTCAGGTGTGTCAAACTCAATTTCATTGAGGGCGAGTCAGGGTTGTGTTTGACCTTGCTGGCAGAGGGCTGAAGAAGGCCGTCGTGGCTGAAATTGGGACGCTGGCTGAGCTCCATTTTTGCTAGCAGAGGAACTGCAGGCTGGTCCTTTGCTATTTCCAGGCCGGCCCCATGGGCCATATCTAAGGACTCCATAGGCCAAATTCTGCCTGCGGGCCTTGAGTTTGACACCCTTGTTATGATGTGATGGTTCTGCCTCCTCCAGGGCAAGCAATTCCAATCAATGTTTTGAAGAAAAGGTTCAGCCTGGGCCAATCAATAAGACTTATACTTTTGTTTTCTCTCAGTTAGACTACTGCAATTCACTCAACATTTTGGGACTGCCCTCAAAATGACTTGGAAATTCTAGATGGCATAAAAAAGATATTAACTGTTGTCCTTGCTAGCCAATAAAGCATCTATTTCATGAGAGCTACTTTGTTTGGCGATAGATTTCAGTTCAAGAAGTTGATCCTTAGTTTACCACCTTAGTTTACCACCTTCTTTGGAAAGAATCTAAATAGGCTGGCCAGGACAGAAAGCTGCAGCTCCCCATTCTGAAAGTGGTCAAGGGATTGGCTTTCTCAGCAGGAGCCAGCTCACTTTGGAATAGTTCATTGTGTCAAGTGAGGCTAACCTCCATCCTTTTATCCACCAGCCATCCTCTTCCACTGAGCTTTTAGGAATTGAGTTTAAGTGGAAGCATGCAGCAGCCTTTAAAAAATACTTAATGATTTAGCATTTATAATTTTTATGGATATGTTTAATTGAACTACTATAAGACCTCCTGATTTCTTTGACTAGGCAGCATATAAATAATTGTAATAGCAGGCATGCTAACATCAACGGAAAAGGCATATAAACATTATTTGAACAATACTATTTGAGATAGTGCCATCAGTACAAGCGCAGCATGAAATACAATTACATAAAACCTATTCTTTATGTAGTTTTGGGATTACATAGAGCATTATTCCTTGCATTCTTGTAACCTCTTAGGTTAGGATTTCTAAAAATGTATTTATTTCAATTCAGAAAGCAATCTGAAAAAGAACTAGGGTCTCAGACATGAGCCACAGTGGCGCAATGGTTAGAGTACACTACTGCAGGCTACTTCTGCTGACTGCCAGCTGCCTGCAGTTTGGCAGTTCAAATCTCACTTGGCTCAAGATTGACTCAGCCCTCCATCCTTCCAAGGTTGGTAGAATGAAATTGTTGGGGGCAATATGCTGACTCTAAACCACTTAGAGAGAGCTGTAAAGCAGTATATAAGTGCTATTGCTATGAGAGCATGTGAGACCTCTAAATCTAAAATCATTAGCGTGGCAAAATGAAAATGTTTTAAGAGTTAACTGAATGAATGCATTGTTTAAATTGATTTCATTAAACTGAGGTTTCTTTTTTAATTTAAGGCTCAGGAGATATGGACAGTATCTCCAAAGTAAGTATAAATTTCATTTTTAACATTGCTTTTCCCCTAAACAAAAGGACTGTTAAAATATCTGTTTTAAAATGAAAATGGTTATGCTGATTTTGAAGGTATTCCCATATTTCCTAACAACAGAAATCTGAATGTATACATTGTTTCTATCTGTGGCTCATGATCTAAAACCTAATTTTCAGTTTTACTACTACATTTGTGTCACAAACCATAGAAATATAGATATGAATGAGTCTTCATTCTAAAAAAGGTATAAAGGTATAAATTAAAATACTTGCATTTTTCCAAGTGTTTTTCCTTGACTTAAACTAAGGGTGACTCTGGCTAAAAGTTTGTTCTTTTCTTCTTCTTAAAATTCATAGTCGATCTTTTCAAAGAATTCCTGCGTACATATTCATCACCTTATTCCTTTTCAGGAAAACGACCCAATGCAGAACAGAAGGAAGGGCTAGTCAAATAAATTAAGAGGATCAGCTAAAAAGAAGAAAATTGTTAACAATTAGTTTTAGGCCTAAACTCTCACTATATACTTCTTGGACATTTCATCCTTATTTCCTGCATATCCATATAGTTCCATTATCATGACATTTGTGTATTCAGTCAATTATACTACATGTCTGCATGCAAAAGTATATATTACTGTACCCAGCCAACATTTTGCTGTCACCATAACCATTCCTTGCACATTTATCTTCAACAAACAAGGAGACACTCACTTCCCTGCTCAGTGTTGAACTATGTATTAAGCATTCAATTTATTTTCACAAATGCCTTACTTCCTTTATATACTGCTGTTAACATTTTCAGCAATCAACATCCAGTCAATATTTATGAAAAACATTTCATAATTTAAGCATATTTACTTTATTACATTCTTTAAATCAACAAACATATAGTGAAATTTCTTTCTCACATTCATACATTCTCAATGATTTGCTGAAAAGCAAAAATCTGGTCTGTAAACCACTCTTATAATAAAACCATACAGTTCTTAACAGATTTGTTCATTATCACCTCTTTAAATCCAAATTCCGCCATATGCTTCTCTAGGCACACTTAAACAAATCCCCCATAGTTTTTGTATCAGTTCCTGCTATATTTTATTTTGTGTAATGAAATAATAATGATATGACATTCAATAAGTTATACAGCCACTTCATGAGGAAGCCATATCCATGTTTTAACATTTCTCCTATTAACTATTTATACCTGCAACTGTACCATTTTCAGCATCCTTATGGCATTTATAAATTCATTTTAATACATTTTGTCTTAGATATTATTTTAATCCCATTCATTTTTACGTATATCTTACTTAGTCCTCCTTACAGAATTTCAAAACCAATGTTAATATCTGTTAACATTTTCTCTTCTATTCATCTTAAACCACTTTTGCTCTCTGACTCTGTACTTAAAGCTTTCTTTTTTTCCATTTCCATTTCTCTCATTCTCATTTTATGTAACATTCTCAAGTGTATTTTCCTCATCCAATCATCCTCTTTGCATAAGCATAATTCCACACATATCTGTAATGCTGTAATATAACTATTCTTACTCTGATTTCATCTTCTTTCCATCATTCACTTTGGAAATTAATCTGTCTTCTAATGTTTTTTACATATAGGCTCCTGTTTCCATTCTTGTATTCGTTTTTACTTTTACTTTTACTTTCATTCATTTACTTTCATTTTCATTTTTTACTCTACCATAATTTTCTTCCAAAATCTATTCTCAGATTTTGGAAACAAAATCCTGTTTCTTCTGTTCCAACACAATCTTTAGAAAAAGAAAGTTAAATTGAAAACAGCTATACAGGATTGAAAAACTTTTTCAAAACTATTGAATACAACTTTTGCAATCTCTGACTGATCAGTTAAGAGATGATGGATTGGTTTCATGTAATCTCTGTACATCTGTCAGCATTTAAGTGCTAAGAGGAATGAAAATGTCATGGTTGGCTTCAGAACAGTTCTTAGGTTTGGCACTTCTTGTGCTGCGTAGTGGGGCCCTAAATCTTCAGCCTTGCTCATAACTTTGTGATTTTTGCCAAAGTTATAATACAGACATGAAACTGGGCTTAAATAATACATACAGGTGTACAAGAGGAACCTTTCCCCACTCAGTGTATTTAGACAGGCTGGCAAATATAAGATAATCCCTATTGAATATGTGTTTCTCTCACCCTTGAGAATGTGGGCATTGTACTTGTGGGTGAAAGAAAAGTATCTCTCATGGGATGCTTTTAAAAAGTTTAATATGATTTATGCTTTTGATTTCCTTTCTTTGTTTTCCAAATAGAATTCTCCAAGTAATATGAGTATGAGCAATCAGCCTGGGACCCCTCGAGATGATGGTGAAATGGGGGGTAACTTTCTAAATCCTTTTCAGAGTGAAAGTGTAAGTACTTTATTTTTTATTCTGGTTGTTCATTTTAGGTGTTGCCATGTATAATAATATTTATGAATTCCTGTACCCATAATAGATTAAGGGCTGTATGTTTAATGTGGAAAGAAATCAAGTTATTAAAACTTCTTTTGATATTTGTTAAGCTTGTTTTGCAGTTTCCATTGCTATTGCCTATAGTATTACTAGGAATGATACATACACGATACATTTGCTTCATATGCTGATTATAGTAAGATAACTCTGAACATATTTATTAGCATCATAGAATGATGGAGGTAGAAGGATTCATAAAAATCATTCGGGTGGGTAAGAAGACCAATTAAACGATCTTCTGGAGGTACCTGACCCAGTCTCTTTTTTCAACTTCCACAATCTTCTTAAATCATTTTTGTACAGTATTTATGGCCACTAAGTTTTTCTGAATTTTTAAATGAAAATCTAGGTATACAATATTGTAAAACATGTGAATGAGTGCTACAAGATTTACTTTTCAGTAAATGGACATACAGTTATTATATATTATATATATTTCTGCATTCAAAGTTAATTCTAATGTTCCAACAAATTTGAACCTATATCAAAGAAGATAGGGCAATCAACTGCCCAAGAAGTATGTAATAGTGATAATTTGAAATTTCTTTCCTCATTCTTTTATTTATCAATAAACAAAAATAAAAACTATAACAGTGGTAATATAAGGAAAAATCTGTTTTTTTGCCACTTGTATTATTATTTTGTTAAAAAATAAAAAGTATGATGTGCACTTATAATAAGCACTAATTTCAATTTTGCTAAATAAAAATTGATATAATTTCACATAATAATTGTAGTAATAATTTTACATTTTATCTACTTTACTCATATTAAATGTATTCTGTTAATTTACATTTCATCTTAAGATCTTACTGAATCAGGAGGGCCAGTATGAAAGATGTTTTGTTTGAAATATAGCTCTTTTTTAAAGAGGTTCTTTTTTTCTCAATGTATTGAAATAATTGATAGCCTCACAATTTCTTCCACAAAACATTTACCGTATTTGCCGGCGTATAAGACGACTTTTTTGCCCTAAAAAACATGCCTCCAAGTGGGGGGGTCGTCTTATACGCCGGTAAATACATTGTCACTCGGTGCAAGAGCGACGGGGGCGGAGCTCCGCAACTTGCGAAGCCCCTTCAAGCCCAGCCGAAGTCTCTCTTCCTCCTCCTCCTCCCACCCACCCACCCACCCTCCGCCCGGCTCGGGGCGCTTGCGGAGGCCAATCTGGAGGTGGGGTGGGGGTGGAGCGGGAGGGTCTCTGGCGGGGCCGCTTCGCCCAGCCAGCCCTGAGCCGCGTAATGGCCCGGGGAGTGGGGGGGGAGAAGGTGGTGGGGGTGGACTGTGGCGCCCCTCCTTCTGGGCAGCGGGGTGGGGGCGGCAATTTGCTCCTCCTGCTTCTCCCTCCCTCTTTGAAAGACCGGGAGGGCTGTGCTTGGGGCGGGGGGGGTGTCCTCAGGAAGTTCCTGATGGGACCCCGCTGGGCAGGGCCACCCGGCTCCCGAGCTGCTTTCCAGGGTCCCCTTGGGAAGAAAAGGGTCCGGTGGGCGGTGGAAGAAGGCGAGCGCCCTCCTCCCGCCCCCTGTCCCGTCCCGTCCCTCCTCTTGTCCCCTCCTCCCCTCCCCGCTTAAGAGAGAAAGATCTGCCTCCCCTGCACCGAGCTTCCACCCGGCGCCGCGTCTCCCGGCCAGCGCGCGCTTGCGACTTGGGAACCGGCCAAGCGACTTTAAAACCGAGCGGAGGCCAGAGATAGCCGGAATTACCCTCCACACCACACACACACACACACACACACACACACACAGAGAGAGAGAGAGAGAGAGAGTTGGCAGCTGTCCATCCCCCACCCTTGGAGTCCCGATGGCACGCACGCGGGGGCTGTCACAAAGAAAGGGAGAGGAATTGAGTGCCAGCCTGAGAAAGGCGAAGCTGCCTCTCTAAAGCATTTTGGTGGCTTTGTAAGTTTGGGGGAAAGGGGTTGGGGGTGTCAATCAAGAATTATATCCAGAATACCCCAAGTGTTACAACTTACCGTATTTGCCGGCGTATGAGACGACTTTTTTGCCTTGAAAAGCATGCCTCCAAGTGGGGGGGTCGTCTTATACTGCGAGTATATAACAAAAACTATATTTTGAGTGGAAATGTTGGGGGCTCGTCTTATACGCCCAGTCGTCTTATACGCCGGCAAATACGGTAGCTAACATTCGACTAAATATTCTGCATAACATTTCCCGAGTTGATCCTTAGAATACATTTAAAAGAACAACAGGTGATATATATTTCCATGTTGTAGGTTAGAACAAATTTACTCAGTTTGAGGTTATAAAGACAGAAAAAGAATCAGAAATGTATATGGCATAATAAGCAGCAGAACCAAATTAAAATAAATGATACATGTTATATTAAATTATATCTTCCCCATGGATTCAATTATTGTATGGAAAGGATAATAATGATCAGGTAGTTTCCAAACAATGCAATGGAAATAATATTCTGAGCAATAGTTTTTAGAATTAATTTGTTTAGGCCAACTAGTGTTTATTAAGATAAATTTTTGCCAACTACTTATTTATGACACTTTAAAATATACTTGATTTTGGAAGAGTTATTTGATTCATATTTAATTCTAAATAAAATAACACTTGTCCATCAGTCTATCAACAATTTTGTTCTAAATGAAATTAAATGTTGTTAGAACTAACAACTTACTACAGATAGAGTGACATTCTTATTACTGTTTAAATTAAGATGTTCAAAAAGTTCTTGAATTAAAACCAAATATTAATATTCTAATAGAATAAAATGGGATATAAATCAATTTATAGTTTACAAATGTTCTTATTCTTGGTAAACCAGATACATATCACATGTTAAATTGTTATGTTAAATTAGGAGTAGTAGTCATATGTTAAGTTGTTGTTATTATTAATCATAATACTTGCATTTCATGTTCACTATTAATACCTTGGTAAATGAGTTGTAGCTAAAATGTGGATTCCTATTTTTCAGTATTCCCCCAGCATGACAATGAGTGTGTGATCCAAAACCAAGTTTCTTCATGAAGGCTGCACTGAGTTGGCCCTCTCCAGAGAGCTACTAAAGAAGAAAAAAAATATTCATCCCTGTGTACAGTTTAACAGAAAAGATTTCTGCCACATTTGGACCCACCATTATTTTCCATCCATCTTCCCTGTCTTGTGAAGAAAGTGGGTCTTGATCTGATTTCAGCTATAATATGTGGCATATCAGAGCTGCCCAAGACTGAACTGCAAACAATTATCTGTGTATGTATATGTAGGGATAGGTGTATGTATGTGTGTGTTAAATATGAGCACATACATATATAGACCTGCAGGACGTTGTAAAATATCACATGACATCTTAAGTAGAAATAAGAAATAGGGACTTTTATTCCATCTTTTTTACGTTTACATTTTATCTTTCAAAAGAACTGCTTCCTTCTTCCCATCCAACCTGTTTTGCGCTGTGTATCACTGCTTTGTAAGTTATTTTTTTAAAAATGATCTCAGATACATTCTGTTTTTGTCATTGTCAGCCATCATGGTTAGGAATAAAATTGCTTATTAGAGGGCTTTCATAAAGTTTTATTTAATACCAGTAATCATGTGAATTGAAGACTACACTTACTCAAGAAATTTTTTTTATTAAGTCTGTTAAACTTGTTCTTTGCCTTCCTGAAATTGAGAAAGAAAGAAATTAGAAGAGTTTTGTGCCCTGCTTCTTAATATATGTCTATTACTGCTATACTAAACATATTTGCATGGTGGTAAACATTGAAACAAGTTTACTCCCAAGTTATATGTTGAAGACTAGGATGCATATCCTTTAATATTTGCTGTCAAGGTATGACTGAGTTTAGCTCAACTTTTTGATCTATGCAGAGAAATACAAAATACTTGTTGGGCTTTGATTAAAGTGCTAGAGCATCGAGGAATAAAATTGGCAGGATTCCAATGTTGGGGAAATACTTAGTATGATCTTCCACAGGTATTCTAATTATAATTAAAACAGTTATACATTATATCGCTTAGGCACAATATTTTCTTCTAACATCCATCATAATCTCCCAAGATTTCATATGCATACTCAAATTATTTCATATGCCAAAGTGAAAGAGACACAAGTTACTTTCCCTCATTATACATACTGGCTTTATCTTCATCTCACTATCTATATTTTACCATCAATATTATTAAACCACTTTGGATGTTTCTAAAGGTCCTATATAATCTTAATGATCAGTAAATTCGTTACATAAACTTTTAATGTTAGTTTATGGTATTTCATCTGCTGCATCAAAAACAAAAGCAGCTATTAATCTAAAAATAATTTTAATTGGCTTTATATTAAAAGACCATGGTGAATTTCATCCAATATCCTTTTTTCTTGAGTTTCAAATAACTCAAAAATTTAAGGTGCTTTATATGAGGAAAGCATGATGATTTCCCCATCCTGTTTTTGGAAAGTAAATGACGTGTGAAAAATTAGCTATTTTATATTTATTCCTATTTTCAATTTTGCTATAATGTTTGGTAATTCCCATATAGTAGCAGCTTCCATTATCTGCATATCTTGTACTGTAACTTTTTCATTTACTTCCATAAATGTGGTAGTAAATTTGCTGCCTACAAGAATTTCCACCTATAAGAAGTAACAAAGAATTTTACAACAATTGCAATCTATCCAAATATACTTCCTGCTGAAATTGCAATGAGAGAATAGTTGAATAAGAAGCAGTTTTTAATCTGGATTTTTTTTTAAAAGGTGGGGGGATATCGTTCTTTAAATTTTATGCTAGTATTAAAGAAAACTTAGGGCGGTATCCAGTCATGTCATTCCAGGCAAGATAGAATCCACCAGTGGAACATAAGTTTCCTCTCACCTACCAACCATCAAATCTGTTCTGGAGGTTTAGGAAATCATATAGAGCAAAATTAGATTGTACCAAGAAAGTAGAAAAAGGGAAATGAAGTTCCAACATGGAAGCAAAACATGATACTTAACAAAGCTCTTAAGTATCACCATTGCTTCTAAATTAACCTTGAAGAGCTGAGTAAAGTTGCTATGTGTAATCTAACACATGTTTATATTTTTACAAAATTTAATCTACGACTCCAAAATGTTTTATTTCCATTTTATTGAACACTCGGAACAAGACAATAATTCTAATTAGTATCCAGTGATGTTATTTTCCTCAGAAAAGCTTTTTGATTCAACCAAACCTTCCATGAATGCAGTGAGGAAAGAGATTGTGTCTATTCTTCAAAACGTATTCCAGAGAATTGAAAACAATGGGAAGCAGGTCCTTTCTCTCCCTTTTGTTTATGGGAACTTCTGCTGGAATAAAGTGTCTTCTCTGAATTGAAGGGCAGTTTTGGATATGATTCCTTAACCCTAATACTTAGTTTTTCAGATACTCATTTTATGCATGTAAAAATCTCTGTGCCTAATTTTTCCAGTAACTCATTTCCAGTACATCACAAAATGATAACTATGAATGCTGTGCACATAATATCTAATGACAATGCTAGTTATACATTGTATTTTTGTTTAGATTATTCTGTATGTTCTAGTAAATTATTTATAGAATTTGGCAATATGAAGAACAAAATTAAAATAGATCATTGATTTTCAGTTATTGATTTATTTCTCTCATGTTAAAGTTCCACATGTACTGTGTGTGGTGTAATCCTATATGAACTTTAATGCCGTGATTTTAATTCCCACCCCCAGAAGAGTGCATTTAGAACAATTAAGATGAACTTATATTTTACCTTGGGAATTTTTAATGAAATTACTCCAAAAGCCAAGTGAAAACGGTTCACAAAATATGATATATATCAGCTTCCTTTTGTATCCTGCTTAAAAATATTCCTCAACAAAATCAAATTTATTCCTACCTCTATCTCTTTAGAAATATTCTGAAAACTTTGCTAGAAGTTACTGAAAAATGATAAGTATGTAAATTAAAATTGATTTCATAGCCTGGAGCATTGTGTGTATTTGTGTGTATGTGTGTGTGTGTGTGTGTGTATACACACACACAGATACACAAACACACATACAAATTTAAAATCCCAGAAATAGATTTGGTATCAAGTAAACATACAGGCTATAATCCATTTTAGTAATTCCTACATAAAATGTTTTAACATTAATTTAAATGTTTGCTTTAAAATCAAATCAAGGGTGATTGAATTTAGTGTGGTTTTCTTTATTCTCACAACTTGTTGCACACATAGGTTCAGAAAAGGTGGTATAATTTCCTTTACCTCGCTTTCGCCAAGTCCTATGCTTCAGCCACAATGACAGAAAAGGAAATGGTCCTTAGTGCTTCTAAGTCACAGTAACCAATTAGTTGGAAGACTCATTTTTGCCTGATTCATCAGATTATCATCAGCTGAACCTTTGGTTGCCACTATCCTGGCCTGATTGGTGCACCCCAAATCATTTCTTATCTCTATACTAGATTCTAGTGAAAAAAATAAATGTAGAACAGCTGACATCCAAAAGCAGCTGATTTAGTTATCAGGTGCTTTTAGTTAAAGCTGTTTCCAACTGACCTTTTTGTTTTTAAGAAAAATAATATAATGCTGATTTAATATGCATATTTCAATCCAGTTACAATGGGCTGGCTCATGTGTAATGCCAAGCAATCAAATCCTAATTCCTTAAAATCCTGGTTTATAAGGCAAGCACAAATGATACCCTTAATATAACAGCCATAAATGATTTTCTGAAACTCAGAATTAACCTACTAAGTAAAAAATGCCATGAAAAGAAGAGAGGAAGGAATAAGCACATGGCTTGCCTATGTAGCACCAAACAATTAATGATATACCAAATCCTTTTGAAAACAGGAATGTAAATTAATCATAGCTATAACAAGAGTGACTATTTGGTTAATAAGAGTAGCTGTTTTGTATCTGTATCGATTACAACCTAGCATCAAAACTCAAAACTCAGTTGACTAAAATTACTATGTATCACAATTGTGATTATATGTCAATATGCTGGATGTAACAAAACTATGAAATTAGATGGTGAATTTCTTGAAGAGGATTAAGTTGTACATTTTTATTCTTTTACATTGGTGTCACACATTTTTGCCAATAAATATTGCACTGATTTTTTATGAGTCCTAATGTATTATATATTTATTCCCTGATTTCCCTTTTGAAGAAACTCATTTTATTGTGGGCAGACCTGGCATATAGGTTTTAACAACAGTAACTCCATGATATAGGGTGATCTGGAAAAAGTTTTTTAAAAAGTATATTTTCATGCAATTCATCAGAAATTATTGCACAACTTAAGCCTTCATTCCAGTCGACAGTACACTGGAATTTTAAGTGTGACTAGTGAATAGAAATGTGTATATTAACTCTTTTGGTACATTAAATATTTTTAAAAAAACAAGATGAAGCTTAAGTATTTCAAGTTACAATTTAGTATCAAAATAGAAAATTTCATATTTCCAGTTTGAATATGATGTAAAATTATTAATGTGATTATATAAATACTTCTTTAAATGTTCTGATGTGCATATGGAGATCTATGCAAACACATGTTCTCTAATTCTTTCAATGCCAAGGAATACAATTAATGCATTTGCACATGGAACATTTCCTGACTTGAACAGATTGGTCAAGTCTTGCTTCTGTAGAAAATTCCTTATACTAAGTGAAGCTGGTATTTTTTTCATTGGAACTATCAACTATGACTTGTTTAAGTTCAAGGCTACTTCAATTAAGTTATCCAGTATTTGTGGCATTAAGATTGTATGCCTTTCCAAACAACAGCATTCTAGATAGGCAGGCAGTTAAACAAATTTGTTCACAGACACATATACTCACATATAAAATTAAAGGGGAAATTGAATTAATTTTAGACTTTATAGTGCTAAAGATTTTTAGTGCTATTCTTTTTTATTTGAACCAGAGACAAATTCTTTGTGTGCCTAATCACACTTGGCCAAGTATTCAGTATTAAATATGCTGATTTGACATCTTTAAAAGTTATTATTTTAAAAACTTAAGAATAATAATATTTATATACATTTTGACCATGTACAGTCTCAGTTTAATAAGAGCATCTGAAAGATTTCTAATTCTAATTTCTAATAATTCTATAGACATCCTGTGCAATTTCAATATTTCATTTTTAAAAGATTTAGAAAATAAATGGTTTCCCTTTTTAAATTAAGTTCACAACAACAAGATAGATTATAATTAAAATTAGGAAAGAATATGATCAGTTCATAATCAGAATAAATTCTGGACATTAGATTCCAATTGTACCACTAAAATATGTCAGTACTTAGAGGAGTTAATTTTTTTCTAATTTAATGTGTAGTGTAATCAGATCTCAAGGGCTTATGACCATACTTTGAATATCCATATGAGCATTTAGATTTTTTTTAAATAAACCATTTACCATAATTTAGAAGAATGTATAATATAAAATTTGGCATGAGAAATAACGGTTATACATGCATTGGGATTTTTAGGATTAGTACTTAAGGCTTGTTTAATAAATTTGCCAATGATTGTCATCACTTTCCAGTAAGATTTAATTTAGATGAACCTTGTCAAGCTAAAGCTAAATCCCACAATTTGAGTGGGAAAATTAGCTTTTATTTAATCACCTAGGATTACTACTACAGTTGCTATTTTTAGATCCTTGACCATTTCATTTAGTTGTCTTTATGTATATCTACTGAACAGATTTTGTTTTTTAGAAAATGGTTCTGGCTTTTGGAATTTTCAACATTTTTTGCACATTTAGAGTTTTGTATTATAAAAATATTGATAGAAACAGCATTTTCATTTATTTGCAAGTAAGAGGAAAGACTATAATACACTATACTGTAGACCAGGGGTCCCCAAGCGCCGGTCCGCGGACCGGTACCGGGCCGCGGAACAAGCCTTACCGGGCCGCTGGTTGCTGGGCGCCGCCATTTTTTTTGACGAAAAATCACTTCCGGTGACGTCACTGGAAGTGATTTTTCGTCAAAAAAAGATGGCGGCGCCCAGCTGACGCCGGAACCGGGCCGCGGCGCCCAGCTGACGCCGGAACCGGGCCGCGGCGTCGAAAAGGTTGGGGATCCCTGCTGTAGACCACTATAAGAGAAGAGAGGTTTACAATACTATAGTATACTATACTATAGATTACTATGCTATAGTCTAGCAGAAATTCAGGATTTTCCTACAATATAGGAAAATTAAGTAAAGTTTCAGCTTTCTATGTGGTGAGACACATTTAGAACATTTGAAGTACAAGGTTTTATTATATAACAAACCATGTGCATTTCTGCAACCAAGAGTAAGCAGCAAAACTTATTTTCAATGCTTGCAGAAAAATTATTTGGTGAATCTATGCTTTACTTTTTACCTATATTCAGCAGGTAACAATATACACACACTCCAACTTTTAACATAGATCAAGAACTAGTTTAGTTCATAAAATGGCTGTTACTTTCCCAAGGAATATGTGTGCGTGTGTGTGTACACACACACGCACAACCTAAAAATTCTTGTGCATTTCTAATACTTCAAGACCTGCAATCTCTGAATATTAAAAGTTTTACCAATTTATAATCTCCAGTAGCCATAAATAGGTTTGAAACTTGCTAGTCTGTTAAACCATCAATTATAAAATTACAGACTAATGAATGTACTGAATAAGACTGTGCTTTTATTATGTCATTGTCTGAAAGCAATGAAATTACCATGAAAAAGATTTTCAAGTACTTCTGTGGAGAAGCTGTTTTTATTTCCTCCTTTCATCAAAGTGCCCCTATATCACATCTTTCCTTGATCTGTTTCATATTGCATCACCCTGGTCTTTTTCAAAACAAGTGAAATATCAGTATTAAAAATTTCCACAGAAACAAGCTTGTTTCAATCTATTGTCCATTAATATATGGTACTGATTCTCTGTGTGTATTTTTACTGAAAGGAAACATCACACAAAGGTTAGAATATAAGGAATAGAGGAAAGAATTTGAAAGTGTTGATATAAAATGGATGTGTACATGCTTATAACTCCATACCTAACAAATAAACCACTTGGGAAAACTATGTAAGGTATAATTTTTCTATTTTTTAAAAAATGTTAACAAAAAAAATGTTCAAGAGTGTTGATAAAGTATTAAGACAGTAGGTGTTAGATCCATTTTGCTATGAAAGGTTAATGTATTATTTAAATCTGTACATTTCTTAGTTTCTCACTTTAAACAAATTCCAAGACTTTCAGAGGTTATCCACATTTAAAAAAATTCTTATATGAATTCATGACACTGAGATTCAGATTCTTAGAATTCAGGAAATAGCAGACAGGAATATGAGTTATGAATCCTCCCTTACATCCATAGTGGAACAGAAAACAATATTCTACAGAGTGTAAAAACAAAGTATTTTGCAGAAATCCAATTACAATAAATAAAGCTGACTTTTTCAATATTCAGAATGGATAGTGAAATTGCTAAAGGTAGTCCTCAACTTAGGACCACAATGGAGCCCAACATTTATGTTGCTACACAAGACAGTTAAGTGAGTTGTGCCCCATTTTATGACTTTTTGCCATAATTGCTAAGCAATCGTTGCAGTTATGTGAACCGTGAAGTTGTTAAGTGAATCGCTTCCCCTATTGATTTTATCAGACTTCAGCTAGAAAGTTACAAATAGTTATCATATGACCCCAAGACAGTGCAACTGTCATAAAAACCAGTTGTCAAGAATTTCGATAATGTGACCATAGGGATGCTTCAATGGTTATAGGTATGAAAACCAAAGTCATTTTTTCTTTTTTTTTTCAGTGCCATTGTAACTTCAAACGGTAACTAAATGAATGGTTATAAGTCGAGGACTATCTGCACTTACAACTATATTTGAGTATGTTAGTAAGAAATTAGGAGTTGGAATCAAAATACATCATCAATCAATGGGCAGAATCTCAGGGCTGCATATGGACCTTGAAGACACTATTTTGGTTACAGGTCCAACTATCTGTGACCAAATATAGTTTAGTGGAATTAATTATATTAATTTAGTTAAAATTGTCCTAGTCACAATTAATTTTTAGAATGTGACTAATAGTTTCAAAGTGTGTTCTTTATAAGTCGTATAACAAATTTATTGTAGTATAACTTGTACATTCAATCCATATAACTTATTAAAGAACCTACAGGTTTTATGAAATGTGTTCCAACTATATTTTAACCCCTCAACAGTTCTGTCCAGAAGTAAATTCTATTGTATGTATGTATAAGGTTTGCTGTAAAAAATGACTGCTTTAGGTATGTATGAATCTCATGGAAAGCTAGCTAATGAAAACATTCTGCTGTACATCTAAATGGTTTGTCTAGTAAACAAAAATTTAATAAAAATTAGACAATACATAGTTTACAAGGCATGTCTGTTAATATGAGTAATATTCATACTGATTAAATAGAAACATTCTAGAGGCAAATAATAGGACTTAAGAGTGGAATTTATTCCCAACTACAATACCTTGCAACATTAATATGAGGTCACATATTAGCACAATGGTTTAATCAATTGAGAATATTCTTATACACTCACCTATTTTGTAGTGGTTTTCTGTAGCAATTTATTCCTCTATAAAGTTTTTAGACATTCTGTAAATTAAATACATTTTAAACAAATTTTAATTGAATTGTAATTCTAAAGTATTGAATACAATGGGGGGTGCTAATAATCTTTTAGTCTGAGAGAGCTGAGCTTGATCATCTTTCCATATTCATTATAATTTTATCATAAACACATCATCTGCTTTTATCCAAATTGCTCTCATCTGTCTTCCACTGTTTTTATTTTATCAGCAATCACGTATTCTTTTTTTATGTATTTGGGACTGGCCCTTAGCAATTCATGTTGCTGTTCACTCACGTGCCCTTCAATCATGAAAGAAGAAAATTCCAGATCACAGAAGAAGTTTCACTGCTGTTTGATTTTTACAACAAAAAAATCAATCCAGCAATATTTCCTGTTATGTTATTCAGCTTTGTTCGGGTATTTTTCCACGTCATTGTAGTTGTGCTTTTAAAGTTGTAGCAACGTTTTGGCAGAATCTCATCTGCCATCATCAGGTTTCTGTATTGTGTTC